CCCCATTTGAGAGAGAGAGATATCGTTTTCATTGTAAATCAATATGAAAGAGAAATTTGAAAATGCACAAAGGCGATTAACATGTAACTTTTTAGGATTTCGATTCATATTTGCAAAGTATACATGGGATCCAGATCTAGATCCAAACCCGATTGGATCTAGAAGATTCAGGTCCAGCTCCGGATCTAAAAAGTATACATGAGATCTGGATCAAAATTCGATGATATCCAAATAATTATTTAATATTTATAAAAAATATAATTAAAAATATTATACAATATATTTTTAAAATATTGTATGATATATATTTATGTATATATATACTAATATATAATATTTTATTAACCGAATCGGATCCAGATTGGACCCACCAATACCCGGATCCAAATATTCCCAAATCTAAATCAGATCTGAAATTTGGGCTTGAGGTCGGATCAGGTAAATTCTCAACCCTACGGGTGGGAGAGAGCTAGTTAAAATACAGTCTTAAATAATCCCATTACCTCTATGACAAACTCGACCCCACAATCTCAACTCAACCCAACCCTTGAAGCATACATACCATTACCACACGTGAGAGAGAGAGAGAGAAAAAATCCGATCTTAAAACGATTTAGGAGGTAGAGAAGAACTATATAGTCTCAAACAATTATGGTGTCTCAACAAACTCAAACGTATGGTCTCTCAATACTTAGAAACATACACACCATTCCCTGTGAGAGTCTCAACATTAGAAACATACACACCATTCCCTGCGAGAGAGAGAATAGAAATACAATACAATCCCATTATCTTGACAACAGACTCAACCATATAGTCCCAACTTTTGAAACATATATACCATTTCCAACACATGCTTGAGAGAGTAAAAATCCAGTCTTAAACACATGGAGTAATCCAAAAAAGTAGGACTATCATATGCACAACTTTCTTCATATAAGTCCTTGATCAAGGACTCCGCAACAAAACCAACATCACATATTCTTGCACAAATTTTAGCAGAATAAAATATCTGTATGTTCTCCAACAACAAACACCTGCAAATTAGCGAAACAATATGAGAATCTAATTGTGAAATTGAATTCCAATGTGTATAATGTTATGATCTATACTAGTGATGTATACATAACCTATAATTGTTGACATAATGTACACACTATAGGTGATTGGGTGGGATGACACGATGTCTCGTGTTATAGCTCCACAAAACTAAATTGTTGCACCCTCTGATCATTTGATATTAAGAAAAAAGGTTAGACAAATCATCTATAGTTGTCTATTTTTTTGCTGCGCACCTGTTCTACGAAGAACAAGGTTTGCCAAAGACGGGCAATTGTAGAAACCTAGTTTTGAAATTGGCAAATTTTCCTGAGTTTTTAAACTAGTCATCCTAGATAATCCTAAACCTAATAAGTATAGGAGATTGACCCCAACACTAAACTCATAAACCTGAAAACTGATATTCTAAATTCCTAGCTTTGCAAACCCCTCAAAACTTACCTAAATTGGATCAAATTTGATTCTAAATTGTAAAGGAGATCAAGATATTTCGAATAATCTAAAAATCGTTGAATTTCGATATACAGTTTGAAAGTTATGATTTGTACAATTTTTTTTGCATAAATTTCTGAGAAGGCGTAGATGATGGGAACCGCATCTTCCAGACGACATAGTCTACTTTATCCAGACTTAATCCAAGGTAGAATGATCCCAAACGACGGGGAGTCTTGTCTTCTAATCGAGATAGGACAAATAATCTGTTGTTTATAGCTATTTGAACCAATCAAACCGAAATTATGATATCAATGCATAGATACTCCCATAAAATGCATTGGAACGTATGGAAAGGTCTATAAAGGGCGACAAAATATGGTTCATGCTAAGATCTAGATATTTTTAGAAACCCTAAAAAAACCCTAAAAATAAAGAGAGAAAAACCCTAGGCTAGCCTAAACCTTAAAAAACCCTAGGTCATCCAAAGACTCTAATTCAATGAAAGGTCAATTTCAACGATTGGACCCCAAAAATTGTCAAATCTAAGCCCTAGGGAAAAATACGTTTCTTGACGCAACTCCAAATCATTGTTTGAAAAACCGCCCGATTAGATCGGAATCGGCTCCTTGTCGATTTCAGTTTTGGCGGTTTTGGTGATCGGCCGGTATTTTAAAAATAAAAATTCAAAAAACTACCTATAAAATCCCAAAAATAAAGAATTTGATTTGTAATACATTTTTTAATATTTTTTTACATTATGGTAAATATTAAAAAAAAATTAGCCATTAATACTCACTTTTAAAATCCATTTTTTCATAAATTTTCAACTTCATTTGAATGTGTTTACTTTTTCAATCATTCTTTATATGCTTTTTATATTTTAGTAGATTTTTTTTTTTTGCATCTTTTTTATTTTTTTCAACAATTTTTTGGCCGTCCAAGACTTGCCCGGTTATAACGGTTGATTCAGCCAGTTTACCGGTTAGGCCGATTAAACCGCTTCTGGCCCCATGTCTGGTTAACCATTCTGGTTCGATTTTGCAAGACGGTTGAATCGGCCGGTTTACAGGTTGGGCCGGTTAAACCGCTTATGACCCCATATCCGATTAATCGTTCTGGTTCGATTTTGCAAATACTGCTCCAAACAAACAAACAAACAAAAAAATTATAGAAACTCCATTATTTAAGCCAACATAATCAAAATTTTAATTCTATGCAATCCTCCTCTGTCTTTCTCTCACAGTCATATTTCCCACAATTTTATTTACCCAAAAATGTCTCCCACCCTTTCCTCCTATCCTAAACCTACGAGCTCTCTCTCCATTTATAAAAGAGCCCCGATCTTTATCAAGCTGGCTAAAAAACCAGTTTTCTCTCCATAATTTGACAATGGAAGTTTCAGAGCTGGAAGTCCGAACTTCCTAAAAAACTGTTGGACACTTGGAAGTACACACTTCTAAAAAAAAAGAGAAGTGTGCACATCCATACACCTTCGTGGAAGGGGCGAGCTTCTCATTGAACGGGAAGAGTGCACTTCTCATGGGAAGCTCGCTCATGGCTATTTTTTAGTTTTTTTTTTTTTTTTAATTGATTTAACGTGAAACTTTGAGCGTGAGCTCGCCTAAGTTGGGTGCATATATAAAAAATTTAACAAGAAATAAAATGACCATTAGAGGTAGCTCTGTCATTTTCTCTTTTTGATTTATTTTTAATATATTCTTCATATTCATAAGTGCATGTGGGTGAGAAGTATTAATAACCGAAGTTTTAGCTCAATTTGATGTAGAAAAAAAATACTTTTAGGTTTATCAAACAGAATTTTCCATAGTCTTTTACAATTCCAAACAAATTATCTAACACAATATTTTATAGTTCTAAATACAAAAATTAGAGCTTCCAACTATCAAGCAAAATATAGTATATTTTTAGGTCCCATGCTTGAGTCTCCGGTTTACGTCCCAAGCATTGAGACTCCAGTTTTCTTGTACTCTAAAAATGTTGTTAAAGCTAAAAAATTTTGTGCTTATGTTGGTTTATACTATGCATCAAATCCCTCGGGTAAAACCCGCCCTCGGATTATTTTTGAGACTCTATATTTTGGGTCAGGAAAATTTATTTCACTTGGGTGTTCTTTATGTATTTGAAGAAAATAGAGCCCCAAAATTGAACAAAGATAATTCAATTTTTGGAGGGTGACATTTAAGTATTGAAAACGTGAAATCTACTTTTTTCTTTTTTTGAAAATATTTATGTGATAAGTAGATCCCACGATTAGACTCTTAAATATTTGAAGGGCGCTAAGGAATATTGTAGAATTTAGTTTTTAACTTCTTTTTCTAAAATAACTATTTCGTGATTATTAAATATTACGTGGATGCCAAAATTTCTTTCCTATAGCATCGAGTAAAGCATATTTAAAGGACTCGGTTTCTATGTGGCCAAGCCCACATATATACAAATGCTTGCCTATTGATAAATCTATTTTTGAGATGGATTTTAAGACTTAACTTTTAAGGACATGTAGTCTCTAATATGGAGATCATGAATATGAAAAATAAATAATTTAAAAAATTAGAAATAATAATTATAGTAGGAAAACGTTTGGACAGTTAGTTTTTATTGTTTTTAAATGGAACAATTACTTGCATCCATCTTTAAGATCCATGTTTTACACTTTTTGGACTGCATATGTAGAAATACCGTGTAGTCTGCATGAAACAATTTTCTTTTATAAGAGGCAACGACTGTATAATATATCCTGCGAGAGTATAGCATAGGCACCAATATTCAAAGGATGCAGTTTAGGGCCTAGGCTTCACGGAAAAAAGTAAAACCTCACCTCAAAACTTCATCTAAAGAATACTTTAGGCATGGAAAACCCTTATAATGGCTTTAAAATCTAGTTCTAATACTGATTAAAAAATTTGTAGTTCAAAAAAATGATACAGGTCTTGCCGATCCATAAATATTTGAAATTGGACGGTCTAGATAATGTGTTACAATATATACGATTTTTAGGATGTGAATGCCTAAATTTTCTTTATCCATAATGGTCAAGATCGAGATGATCGATTTGATTTTTTTTTTTTATCCATGATGATCATGATCAAGATGATCGATTTGAACGTTTTTGGACTCCAAAAGTACAATTTTCAATGAGATGACACTGCTTTATTATTATTAATTTTTTTAATGAGGCCTTATTATAACATTTTTTTTGTAAGCCCTAGGCTTTATAAAAATAAAATAAAACCTCACCTTAAATCCTAGTTTGGAGAACACTTTTTCGAGCGAAAATCTTTCATGATGGCTCTAAAATCAATTTTCAACACCGACAATAAAATTTGAAACTAAAAAAATAATACATATTTTATAGATATTTGAACACTTATTTTTTAGGTTAAAAGATAATTTGTTACAATATATACTATTTTTAGATTTAAAAAGTTTAATATTTTCTCACAACAATAATATTCAAGCCGAGATGATGAAAGTCGTCCTATGCTTAAATTGCAATTTTTCGATGAGTTATGAGGTGTGGCATTATTATTGATTTTGATAGGGCTACAGCCTTATGAAACCAGTTTCCTTAATTAACAGGTTTCAGCTCTCTTAATATTCGCGTCGTTCAATTTACGGAAGGGAAAGCTTAACCTTGAATTGTGCTTTCTCTTGTACTGTTTGAGTGCTTAACTCTACGACATTTTGTTCGTCTTCTTTCTTCAAAATTCCTTCTTCCCTGTTTGGCTACTTTCAAAGTCCAATAACTGCACCACATATTCGGGGACTGAGGTATATCTCTTATTATTGTTTTTATGTTTTTATCTACTTCCGCTGCTGTTTATTCCTGCTGGTATTTACCCTGTTTACTTCTCACCCAATATGTTTGTTGCTATTTATTTTCTCAAATAGATGACAGACATGGTTGAAAAGATTGTAGACTCCCGGGTGACTTGGGAAGGTTGCAGCGTGATTTTGGATATTAACAATGGCGACCGTATTGTATTTGCTCGCCTCAATCCTTCTTCGTATGTTCTCCGTATTTCTCGTCGTTTGTTAAGTTTGTAATTTTCATTAATTCGTCTTGCGTTCTGCAATATAGGGTATTGTGGATATGATCGTTTTTTCTGTAGCTTCGATTCGGATATCGATTTTTTTTTTTTTCTCTTGGTTTTTTCTATTTGAAGGTTTAGGTGTTGTGTTAATCTAAACTGGTGAAGGTTTCTGTTTTAGCTGTTAGAGGTTTTGGAAGTGAGCAATTGTTTTCTTCTGGTCACTGATTGCGTTTGTTACTTATTTGGTTTTGGTATATTTGTCTGCATAATTCTAAAAATAGGATTTGAAGTTAGAATAGTAAGGGGGGCAGTGCTCAGTGGTGAATTTGAGTTTCACTACTATGTTGGCGTATCATGGGGATTTACGGTTTACTTCAGTTGTGGAGTTCTCCATTTAATAGGATTATTTGCATTGTCTTCTTCTTATAAATTTTCCCACTTGTCAATTAATAATCTTTTATGAATGTCTCAATTTTCATAAAAGACAAGTACTAACTACAATTTTTTAAGTAACTAGAAAGAAATGGAGTTTGAGGTGTGGCTGCATGGGTTTATGGTGGTTAATATTGATATTATTTCTTTATTTTTATAAATTGGATTTGGAGTTAAAAAAGTGGGGGTGCTGCTCATTTTTGTAAATTGAAATATGTGTTTTGGGAAATAGTTGATTGACTTTTACTTTATGGAGATATAGAGTGTGGATGTGTGAATCCTGAAATATGAATTGCAGTACCTTGAAGATTGGAAAGAAGGTCTGCTCTCTGAGCCCATTGATTGGGTGCCCTTTTGGTTCTTTATTTCAACTCGAATGTGGAGTGAATGGGCCGTACCTTTCTCGTGTATCTCGCTCTTTGACAGGTTAGTTTTTCTAATTTACAAACTTAGATTTCCATCCTTGTTGTCCATGGTGGAAAACACATCTCTGTTTAGTTGATCCTTGAAATTTGAGTTCTTAAGTTTGATTTTCTTTTACTTTGATTCGTCATATGGTTCCTTATTCCACCTTGTCATTCTTTATTCCAACTGGTTATGTTCATGTGGGCGGGCGGGTTCTTTGTTTCATGAATTTAGTTGAAAGATATAACCTAGAGCTACATTAGTCAGGAATTATTAAATGACTATTTGAGAGAGGAGAAAGAAGATGTGAAGAGAAAGACGAATAGGATAAAGAATGAAGAAGAGACGTGTGAGAGAGAGGGAGAAGAGAGAGAGAAGAGAGAGTAGTGCATGAGAAAGAAATTGAGGAAAAGAAGACCCTTGTGAAAGTCAATAACTCACACATAGCCCTATTGAATCAAGTATTCAGCTTATGTCCCTTGCTACTATACTTTCAGCATGCCCCCTGAAGCTGTAGCATAGATATCAATCATGCCCAGCTTGACAACTATATCTTGTAGTCTATCATGGGCACCTGCTTTGCTGAAGACATCTGCTAGTTGTCTCTCAATTTCACATGAGGGGTACAAATTATTCTGGTACAATTTTTTTCCCTTATGAAATGATAGTCTGCCTCGACAATAAAGGGTTAAGGTAGCTGCGCTTTAACTCCCAAATCAGCCAATATAGTTTTCACCCACTTAACTTCACGTGCTCCATGTGCCATAGCCCTGTATTCAACTTCAGACCTCTAGTCACCACATTCTGTGTTTTACTCTTCCATGAAACTAGATTACCACCAGCTGACATACAATATCCTGTAGTTGGCCTTCTACCAGTTTGTGAACCAAGCCAATTTGAATCAGCATAGATTGCAACACCCATGTGACCATGATTAGTAAACTACCTCCTCCTAGGAGATGACTTGAGATACTTTAGGATACAATGGCATCTAAATGAGTTTTTTGAGGGGCATGCATGACCTAACTCACGACACTAATCATGTAAGATATATCTGGTTGTGTAAAGGTCAGGTATATAATTTGCCCACTAACCTCTGGTATTGACTAGGGTCCTTTAGTAACTCTCCCATCTGTTTATGAAGTCTATGGTTGGTCTCCATAGGTGTGTCCATTGGTCTGGCTGCCAACATCCCGATTCATTGTAATAGGTCTAGCACATTCTTCCTCTGAGAAATAGTGCTTTCTTTCTATGAGCTCGTCTTCTAACAACCACAAAAGATCTCAGTGGACCTAAATCTTTTATGTCAAACACTTTAGTAACATTTAACATCCTCAATATCTGCTATGCAAACTTTCTCAAAAAAGAAAGAAAATCTGCTTTTATATCCACTGTCACTACAATATAATTGATGTATCTCGACACTATTTTTTCTCACAAACAACTTATGATTAGCTTGACTTCTAAACCCAAATTTTAGCAATGCTTCATTAAAAATTTCAAACTAGGATCTGGGCAATTATTTGAGCCCATATATAGCCTTTTTCAGTGTGCACACTTTTGCATCTCTCCTTGAAGCTGAAAACCTGGAGGCATGGCCATGCACATTTTCTCATAAAGATCTCCATGTAAACGGAACTTTTTACATCTAGCTGATGCAGAGATCAAGATTTGTTTGCTGCTAGGGCTGGCAATGGATGCAACCTGATTCGGGACCCGGCGGGTATACCCTAACCTGGTCCGAGTATGGGTCCAAATTTGGACCTGCGGGTAGGGTCCGGGTCCCACAATGTATACCTGAAAATTTTTGGGTATGGGTACGGGTATTGGTGGACCCGTTCCGTAGCCTACCCAGAACCCTAACATTGATTGATCCCTCCCAGGTTAGTATGCTTTCTCGCTCTACCTACCCTTCATTTTATAGCAAACCCCCTCATATTACCTCTCTAATCTTGTCGATGTGAGACTAAAAGATTTTCCCAACCCACAAAGCAACAAAAGAGAGAGAGAGGGAGGAAAAAATAAAAAAAAGGAAGTGGGATAGAAAAGGAGATCAAAGCATATGGAAAGAGGTCATTTTGGTCATTCGAAGCGTTGTGAGAGATGTCTAGACCTACTCATTAAAGCTTACTAGACCCCCTCATTAAAGCTTACTAGCCTAGGTCATTAAAGCTTACTAGACCTACTCATTTCTACCTTTATCATTATAGCTTTCTAGTCTAGGTCATTAAAGCTTGCTAGACCTACTCCTTACTACCTTTCAGAGTTTAGAGAGACATTTAGTCCCACATCGGGCGTCTGCTTCAAGTGTTAAAGGATCAAAGCTTATGAAAGGGAGGCAAAGGGCATATATTTACGAATCATTGCTGGTTGCTCCTCTTTTATGTTGGAGTGTGGGCCATTAACATTAAGTGTGGGCCCCGGTGAATAGAAAATTGTAGGAAATAAAAAGAAAATGTAATAATATACATGATAAGGTGATATTGTCGGGCACGGGTCTGGGTCCCAGGTCCAACATCACCCGTCGGGTACGGGTATGGGTATGTTTAAATTGGACCCAAAGGGTACGGGTCCGGGTTCAGCTGGACCCGACCTATTTCCACCCCTATTTGTGGCTGAGTGAGTGATTCTAATAGTAATTAACTTCACTGCAAGGGCAAAACTCTCTTTGTGATCTATATCATGAACATGCGACTAAGTAAAACCTTTTGCAACCAATGTCACCTTGTATCATTTGATCATGCTATCCACCTTGTATTTCACTATAAATACCCACTTGCATCCTACCAGCTTATACACACACACACACACACATAAAGGGCTTGCATTTCCTCCCACATCGCAGCCTTCCATTGAGGTTGTGATGGAGCGTTTGCTACACGTAGGATGAAATGTCAAATGTGATAGGAAAGCACAATAAGAAAGTGATATGGTATTATAGGAAAAAAAGTTGTCTTATAGGAAATTGTATACATGAATGCTTTTTTTTTTTGAAATTGTTAACTGAATTGTATATATGAATGCTTACCTTTGCGTAATGCATCAGGAAAGATTATTTATTTATTAATTTTTGAATAAGTTGACTAGCATCAGGTAAGTCAAGGTTCTGACACTACGGTTGAGCTAGGAGTTGAGGAAATAATAGGTACATGGTTCCAAGTCGACACTAGAGTCATGATCGTTCTGGACTTCAGGTTGTGTCAAGTTCTTTATGTGAATATATGTCTTCAACTCCTCCTTGGGTGCAATTGGGGCATTTATATCTTCATTTTTGAACATTTTAGAAATAAAGGGAGTTGAAAAAGATAGTTAGTGGTGCTAGATTGCTCCCTTCTTGCCTACTATTCTTCCCATTGCCGTTCAGGAAAGTAGAAAAATATGGAAGCATTCAACGAAGGAAACAACCATAGAGATATAACGAACGTCATTAGTAGGATCATAACATTTGAACTCTTTGTGATTTGCTGCATACCCTAAGAACTTACACTTAATGGCTTTAGGGTCCAATTTGTCTCTTTCTAGATTTAGAGCATGGACAAACCACACCAAAAACTTTGGGAGGTAAGGGAAACAAAGGAGAATCAGGAAGAAGTATTTGGGTAGGAGACTTGCCTTGAAGAACCCTTGATGATGTACGATTTATCAAGAATGCCACAGTAAGAACAACTTTAGACCATAAGGTGTTTGGGGCATTCCTAACAAGAGAGTTCAAATGACTTCCAACAAGTGTCAATTTTTTCTCTCAGCAACTCCATTTTGTAGAGTATACCCTGATCCCTCTGATAATCCCTGAGAACCTTAGAGACATATTCACCTCCATTATTAGAACGAAGTACTTTAATACTTGCACTAAATTATACTCTAACCATTTTGTGATAAACTTGAAAAAGCATTGCAACTTCATCTTTATGTTTCATTGAATAAAATTGTGGTCAATCTGTTGTAGTAATCCACAATTTTTTTTAAAAAAGTAATACAATTGGGGAAGGTCCTCAAACATCACAATCTATAATAGAAACAGAAGTTCTTCAATGTTTTGATAGCTGACAAGTCTCAAATTTTAATTGAACTTGGTGCAACGACGAAGAATTCTTAGGAAACAAAGAATGCAAACTAGAAAAGAGGAGCAAGAGGCAAATGCACAAGAAATATACCTATTCTTTATTAGCAAGGAAGGACAAGGCGGCTATTTGAGTTTTTGTAGGAGCTTGTTTTGGTGTCTCTAGAAGTACAACACTCCATCCTCACAACTGTGTGTAAATGCGTCACCAAGTCCTGAAAAACACAATAAGATGGGAAAAAGGTTACATTACAATTTATTTATTTATTTTTTAAGATTTCTAACATATAGAAGATTATTGGACAACTTCGAAACATGTGAAGTGGACAACAAATCTATGGATGAAGTTATTCGAACAATATCTTTCCTTTAAGGGAAACAAGGGATCCATTAGCAATCTTAATAGACGCTTGGTTTGAATAGGTACCATAAGTATAAAAGAGATTGGACGTATCAATGATATGTTTAGTGGCTTCTGAATAAATTATCCAAGGAGCTTGAGGAATCGTGGAAAAATGGTGTTCAATGAAGATATACCGGATTCGGTGAGATGTGACTTGAAGTAGGGGGCTCATCATGAATGAAGATACGTTGTTTGTGATCAAGAAGTTTCATGAATGGTCACTAATTCATCCTTAGGTAAAGAATTATAGTCACAAAAATTGATTCAAAAAGTAGTCATCCGAGCTCCTGGATGACTGCCTAGGTGGGCTAGGGGGGAACTGGGGGATTGCTTAGGCCTGGGTGGACCAACTAGGCTTTCTGTCCCTGGGCCGGTGCCTAGGGTACCTGGACGGGAGCCCAGGGGACTGCGCTCGCCTAGGTGCAAAAATACCCTTTGGGTGGGGTATTTTTTTGTTTGAATTATAGAAAATGCATGAATATGCATTTTTTATACAAAACCTGGACTTAAAATAGGATTACTGGACACCCCTATTCAAAAGGCTACCTAGGTGCTGGGCAGCATAGACACCCCCCCCCCTGGCACCTAGATGCTACCCAATGTTTTTTTGGAACACTGGTCACAAAGTAGATGGCTAGTAGCATCTTGTTGTTTAGATACAATATGACTAGTCTCATATATATATATATATATATATTATTTTTTTTTTTTCTCTTTGTTTTTTAAAACGGCCTGCCAAGTGCCTAGGTGTCCAAAGGGCCGGAAATCTATGGGCGCCGTTTCCTTAGCGCCTGCCCAGATAGGCGGGTGCTTAGGAAAATAGGCCCCTTGTTGGCGGGAAACCCCTTGAGGTCAAAAAATTTAGTCCTATCAAACTCTCAAAAATTCATTTTTGAATATTTATGATCGAGGAAAATTGTAAAATTTGAAGAATCATCCAAAAGCTTGACCTTTCTTAGAGGAATCATTTTTCGGGTGGTAGTGAGGGTATTAGAAGACTTTTGGTGTGAGTTTGAACTTGATCGATATCCAAAACATCGAAGAATAGAGATCGAGCACAAATTTTAGTTTACAATCTATATTTGAATTTCTTTCTTAGGTTTGATATGTTTTCCTCGCTGTCTACGAGTTGGGATCCAGGATTGAAGTATTTTATTAACATAGACTTGGACAAATAGGTCAAGAAACATCTTGCCGGTATTGAGGGGATGTTACCCCATGTAGAAAAGTACCCCAGCTTGTGAAGAAAGAGATTCTTGAGTACATAGAAGCCGAAAAAGTGGAAAGAGTATCAAAGGAGAAGGATATAATAGAATTGAGGGTGGGGGCTAATGATGAAGTGAAAGTAATAAACCTTTTAGCTAGCATTTCTTGTTTTTGTTTTTTGACTTTAAATAAGAAGATAATCTTGTGACTCTTAAGATGCGAAGCAAATGCTTTTTGTCCGATGCATGTCCATGGTTAAAAACTTGTCATTATAATTGGTTGTGGTTATGTTTTATTCTTTAAGTGTTCTCATGTCAATTATTTAGTCATTTATTATCAGTATGGAAGTTCTAATTTGAGAGATCTGTTTAAGTGCAGGTGCTTCTAAAAGTGAAGATCAGAATGATTGCAAAACCAAGGATAATAGGGCATTAGTTGACAGCAACACGGCCCAAACCCTTTCTGGTGATGATATAGATGTCATGCGCAGGTTTGACATTGTTTTCCGTGTTTAAAGATGACTATAGCACCTTGCATGCGGAGTCCTGCATAAGAATTGGAATTTTTCATGTGTTCCTAGCTACTGACAAAGCATAATTAGAAATTAGCCAAGACTTGATGCATATATGCTTGCATTTTGTGCCTACATGATCTGGCTATCTGCACATTTGGATGTCCACGTCTACGAAGCTGTTACTAATTTGTCTGCTTGTTTTTTTCAATATGAGATGTAGATTGAATAGAGTGGTATTCTTTGAATTGTTATTATTATAATTAATTTGTTTTGCTTGCAAACAAATTGTGCCATAGCATCAGGGGAAAAATTGCAAGTCTAAACATCAAGTACACACATGGATAGAGAGTACTAGAGATTTTGACACTAAAAGATTGTACGAGTCAAAACATCAAGTCCCAAATTTATGCACCTAGAACACTAGTGTTTGATTTTGTGGTATTACGATTCCAAAAAAAAGTCAAATCGAGACGCTATGAGGGTAGAAGCAAGATTCGATGTTTGATTAATTCGTTGTTTCTTGCATCTACAAATTGCGGTACTTGATGCTCAAGAATTTGGATTTGAAAACAATCAAATTGAGTGTCGTTATATGTGGAATCCAGATTGAGCAAATATAGTATCAAGATTCCACAATTGTGGAATTGAGAATCAATAAATCTTGGAAATGAAATTCTATAAGTGTTGGAATCGAGTTTCCTAAAATCATCATTGTTATCATCATCGGAGCCTTATCCCAACTATTTAGGGTTAGCCACACGCATCCTCTTTCGCCATTCTGCTCTATCAAAGGTCCATACCCTCTGTGTGATCATAAGTCCCCATGTTTTTTCTCAATACTTCTATCCATGTCCTTTTGGGTCTTCCCCTGGACCTTTTAGCGTCTTCCAGTTGAACCAAATCGCACCTCCTAATTGGTGTTGTGTTGGATCTATGCTGCACATGGCTCGCCCACCTCAATCTACTTTCCCTCATCTTATTGGTTATTGAAGCCACACCTAAGTTCCTTTGAATCTTTTGAATTCTATCATTTCTTGTCTTGTCACTCATCTATCTCAACATCCTCATCTCAACTACACTCATCCTATGGATATGTTGTTTCTTAAGCGCCTAACATTCCGTCCTATAAAGCAAAACTGGTCTCACACTTGTCCTATAGAATTCCCCTTAAGCTTCATTGGTAAGGAGTCGATATTCGTAAAATAAGGAATTGAGATTCCTGATTTTATGGAGATAGATTATGTGAGGATTCCTTATCAAAATTGCGAAATCGGGATTCTGGATCAAAATTGCGACCTTGGGCAAGAGATCCCGGTAACTATGTGGCTGACCTCTCTTTCTTGTCTACCCCTTACGACAAAGTAGCATGGTGAGAGCCTCCATTAACTGAAGGGGAAATACCCGGGCCCATTAAGGAGCTCGTCCAGGATGGAGCCCCTGGCCTTGATGTCTACCTTTGGCCCCTTCAGAATTTCTGGGAATCGTTTCCATGAGTTTCAAGAACGAGGTATCATCCATGAGGCTATGAATGCCACTTTCATTGCCTTGATTTCGAAAGTTGAAGAAACTGAAGACCTTAAAGACTTCAGGCCCATAACCCCGCTCAAATAGCTCATATAAGATCCTCTCTGAAGTCCTAACTACCTAACTTCGGGAAGTCCTTGGTTAGGTTATTTCCTCGAATTAGAGGCCTTTATTAAGGACCATCAGATCCTGGACGAGTCCCTAGTAACGCACGAACATATCCATTCAAGGCATTTGTCTCAAATCCCGTGGGTGGTGATCAAACTTGACTGGGTGAAGGCCTATGATCTTGTTGATTGAGCCATCCTGGACGAAATCGTCTACATAATAGGTTTTGGCGACTGGTGGAGGACTTGGATGAGGGGATGCATCTCCAACCCTTTCTTCCCCCTCCTTATTACTAGCTCATCTAAAAGTTTCTTTCCCTCCTCTCGATGCCTAAGGCAAGGGGACCCCCTCTCCACCTTTTTGTTCATGGTTGTCACCAAAGTCTTTAGCAGATTAATTGCCAGGCTGTATCAACAAGGTGTACTATAAGAAGCTTCAAGATTGGGAGATCCCGCATCTCCAATATCCTGACTACACCCTACTGATTTATGATGCCATGCATTAACAGGTTGACACTCTACTCCTCTTTCTCTAATGTTTTGAATTAGCCACAAACTGAGGGTCAACATGGCTAAGTCCAAAATGATGGGCATGGCAGCCGAGGCCTATGTCATCCGGAAACTCGCCAGCCATTGGGGCTGTGAAGTCGAAAGCCTGCCATCTATGTATTTGGGTCTGCCATTGTGTGTAGGCAAACTGAAATTGCAACAATGGGACCGTGTTATGGAAAAATTCGGCCGCAAGCTTGTGGGATGGAATGAAAGGTTGTTCTCTACTTGATGGAGATCAAGAGCTGGGTGATTGAAAAATATAAAATTTTATTTTTTGAATTTCATGGATGTGGGTGTATATTTTATTTTTTAAGTGGGATATTTATTTTAGGAATTATGTTGATTCTCCAATACTCAGTTTCTCTCTCTCTCTCTCTCTTTAATTTTTTTTATTTTTTACTATTCATGAGCACTGTTCATGGTACTGTCCATAGTTACTATTCACAGGTACTGTTCATGCATTACTGTTCACAGGGGTATTTCTGAAATTTTAAAATTATTTAAGGGTATTTTAAAGTCTTAGGGTTTACTTGGATCTCAAGTTAGTTTTAGGGTTTCATAGGCTTATAAAGGGTTGTATGCCAAATTTTGGGATGCTTATGTTATTTGTGGTGAAATTTAGTTTACGAAAAGAAGAGAGCTTCGATTTACAGCCATGGTTACCCTTTATTGCTGATTTGGATGTTTAAGGATCGGGAAAAAAAGTGGATTTTGCTTTTCATTCCTGCATCACTACTGTAGGGGAATAACCAACATAAGGCTACCCTTTTAAATGCCCCTATATACCATATGTCGTTCTTCCACATGCCAGCTTCGGTGGTGACTCGCCTAAATTGGCTGATGAGGAGTTTTCTATGGTCCGGGGAGGGCGAGGGGGGACAAGAAATTTGACCTCATTGCTTGGACAAGGTTTGTTTTCCTTTCTGGAGATGGAGAGTAATGCTTAGTATCTTTAAGGTTTCCCCAGTTCAATGATTAGGCCGTTGGACCCGAAGTTCTTCTCGCTCTCCTTTTTGTCACATAGGCAAGTGGTGGCGGCGCTTTGGCACACAGGAAAACCATCTATGGAGGGAGATGAATCGCCACAAATTTCACTGTGTAGAATCTGGTTGACTACCCAAAGGCATGGCTAATGGTCAGTCTTCTGGTGTGTGGTGTTGCTTGATATATTGCTACAACCTTTTCAAAGAAAACATTTGTTTTTGGCCTAGTATGGGAAATAGACTCAAGTTCTGGACTGACCTTTGGATTGCAAATTCTATCCTTCACGAGCAGTTCTATGGGTTGCTTCTCATGGCTTGTGATTGACATGCTACTGTGGCCGACCCGTTCGAACTATGGGTGACTCGAGAATCTGGTATCCCAACTTTAGACGGCCTCTTTCATACAGAGAATTGGCTGAATTTTGAGTCCTCCCTCCTACAGTCTTACCTTCCTCCCCCCCACTGGTGCTGACTAAATGATACGGTCACCAGCCGCCTCGGAGATCTTTTCGGTGTCTTCTTTCATTGCGAGCTGTGCCAGCCCTCAACATTTCCCCTTGCTCCCCCTTCCCTTACCGTGAGGGCTTGGCTCACAGCTATTCCACCCAAGGTCCAAGTGCTTAGCTGGATAACTACATCCTAGTGGACTCTGATAGTGGACCTGCTACAAAAAAGGGGCATGCCAATCCCTAACTGATGGATAATGTGTAAAGCAGCAGAGGCAACCAATGCAGCCCTCTTGATCCACTGCTACTTGCGTTGGGCCATGTGGGGCGATTTGATGCAGCTCTTCAACGGATGTGGGTGATTCCCAAATCTGCCACCCCCCACCTTTTTAGTTCCCTCAAATCTCACCCCCTGGTCAAAGTTGGGGATATTTCTTTGGAGGGCATCTGTGGCAGCCTCTTTGTGGACGATATGGACTGAAAAAAACCATAGGATTTTTTGAGGGGAGGACTCCACCATTAGTGCACTAAAAGATCGGATCAGAACTTTGGTAATATTTTCCGCTGGGAATCATAACCTCTTCAACCATCAATTCAATACTGATTCATTCAAGATTGGCTGGCTGTGCTAAATTTGAGGTCTTCCCAAATCCCATGAGTTTCGCTTTGGAGACCAATGGAGCAAAGGCTAAAAACAAACTAAATTTGGATGGTTGTTCCTTTGGCAACCCCAGTCCGGCTGGTAGAGGGGGCATGTTCAGGTACAAGGACGGGACAATTCTTTCTTCCTTCTTCTAATTCATTGGTCACACCGATTCCACAGCAGCAGAGACCATTGCCCTCCTTGAGGACCTTAAACGTGATTGGTCATCGAGGGGGATTCCGAGAACATTATTTCATGAGCCTCAAGTGCCTCAACTTGTCCATAGAGACTTGAGCACATTTTTGATGAAATTTTTGACATCATGCACTTCTTAATGGGGCATACGTGATGGGGGGCTAACTCCGAAGTCGACATCCCTCACTAAAGGAGCACTCCAAACAGTACATCAGGGACTTTTTTGGCACCTTTTTGAGCTATCGGCCCTGTGAGCTCCCCTTTTTCCTTCTTTGCTGAACCTATGGCTATGCCATGATTTTTTGGATGTATAGCATTTTTTGGTTCATATCTCATTTTTTGTAAAGTGCATCCAGCATGTGGGCTGGCTTATGCCCCCTTTGTTGTACCTATGTCACTCATTGCTAAAGTCAACACCTTTGGCTTATACCCCCTTTTCTGTACCTATGTCACTCATTGCTAAAGTCAACACCTTCTAAAAAAAAAAGAGAAAAAAGAAGCAATTATTTACTAGAGATTGACTCATTTTTTAATTTTCTATAGGTTTGTACATGTGCCTGCACAGATGTTTTGAGATGAATTTTATGGTACATTATTTGAAATTTAGTATGTGGTGTTTTATCTTCCATTACGAAATATGCGGCCTTGGCATTTTAACCTGGCAATATCCAGAGATCTATTGGTGTTTATAGGTAATGCTGTGATTTCATATTGTGGTTTTGGTGTAGGCAGTGTGTACTGGGTGTTACTTTTCTGATGTTTTCTTAGAGCATGTCATCTTTTGTATAATGTCATTTAATTGCTTTATTACCTGTAAAATAGATTTTCTAAACCTTGAAAATCATTCATCATTATTAATTTGAGCTATACTAGTAGTTTAATTTTGTTAATTTTTCCTAGGGAGGGGGCTACTGGTGAGCAAATTATTGAAGCTCTTATAGCTAACAGCTCAACATTTCAGACAAAAACGGCATTCTCACAAGTAAATTTTTGTTTCAAGAAAGTTTGACGTTAGCTGTATTCTCCATTTGGATATCATTATGGCTTGATTGCAATTGCAGGAGAAATACATACTTAGAAAACAAAAGAAATATGCTCCTACGGTACTTTTAAGACGCCCTTTTACTCGAAGGTAATGAATGTGAAATTTTAACTGTGTTGAATTAATTTATTAGTTCTTGTAAGAATTAAGAGCAACTTACTACTACTTGTCTTGCCATTATTCCTTTTATTTTTGAGGTTAACAATTATAGATTACAATTGTGCCTCTTGCCTTTGGGTTTGGTTTCAACTACCAGGTTATTTTAGAGTGTTTTGGAAAATGTTATCCGATATGTAATTGTGAAGGTTGCATCCTGTTACTAAATGATTAAAGATGTTTCCTTATTTTATATTGGAAGAGATTGATGATTTCTATACTAGTATAGTTATATCCCTAGTGACAAGCTAATTACAAATCAGATAAAATAACCCCTTCAAATTCCTTTTTTTTTTCTTATTCTTTGTGATCGGAGTCCATCTACATTCCATTGATAAGTCCCAATAGCCCAAATGCGACTCAATTTCTTTATTGGCTGTAATTCATATATGGGATGAAACACAGGGAGGGAGCGGTGGGGAATGCAAAGTTTAATTCGTGTTGCAAGAAGGACTTCGAGACAGTATTTGCTTCACTACTTGAAAAGTTTCTCCTTGGTCTATTGAAACAAGAAGTTGAATGGTTATTGAGACCATCAAATCACAGGAATTCTTGCCTGTGTGAAACAAGAACCTTCACTACAAGTGGGTCAGATGGTATTATTGTTTTTGAAATCAGAGAGCTTTTACTTCATTGTTCTATCCTCCTCCACTACAAGTAGGTCAGAATTCTATGGGCATGAATATCTTCCAAAAGAAAAAGCACAATCTTCTCCTAGACAGAAAAAGCACAATCTTCTCCTAGACACTAGGTGCCATCCCATATTCCTTCAGGGGAATATACTTCCTGCCAGACACATCCCATCCACTAGGCCCAAAGATACTGTTTGAACCAATCAAAGGCCCTTTGCTGCTCCCTTAAAAGTTAACAGAATCTGAGTGTAGGCCTATGCAAATATCATCCCTAACTGCCATTGACTTCCTTGGAGTCCAAGTGCCATGATAATTTGCAGTTTTAACTGAAAATCTGAACTAATTCGTATTGTGGATCTTCTGCCCATCCACCACATCCATCTAGTCTCATGAAAAATCTTAGTACCTGATCCTTGTTTAACTTTTGGGACTGTATTCACCTGTCTGGGGAGTGCATTGAGGCCCGAATATATGACGACATAACATCTTCATGATCTACTAAAGTGCATTATATCAATATGTCAAGACATTGCACTATACTCACACATCTGCCATTATCTTCCATGTCAGTGAAAAAGAGGAGATGAAACATGTGTGATAATATTTTATGAATCATGACTAGCTGTGGGAAATCTAATTTAGAGATGAAATATACGTGATAATATTTTATGAATTATGATTAGCTCTGGGAATCTAATTTATAGATGATTTCTGCACCCTTTCTTGAAATATCCTCCACCATAGCCAAAGGTGATTGCAGTTCATTTCCACACGCCTGAATCAGAAATTTATGTCAAAAATCACGAACCTCTATCTAGTTCAAGTGCAAAGTCTTTAGATGTGAGAATGGATCATGAACTACAGAAAATAATTCGTAGGTTTTTTGTCTGTCAATTTCATAAAGTCATTTAACTACATGTGTCCACTTTTTGAAATATTGCTACTACATTTTTTTGCATCATAAACATGATAAGCTAATTTGGGGCAACACTTTTGAGGTTTACTTCCTCCCATGTTGTTGCAATATGTACCGTACGTAAATGTGACAACTATGAAGATTGAAAGATGAAACCCATCCTTGATTCTTGGTTAAAGTTTATAAGAACAAGAGGTCAATTGATTATGTTTTCCAATGAGATGAAAATAAAGTGTGTCCTCACCAACTTGGCGAAGAAACATGAGTCCTTACCATAGGACTCATAGGACTTAGGTCTATGTGAGTGATGGGTCACTGTAATTCTTTAAGGAGGCTATTCATGGTTTAGCAGACATTTTCATTATTTTGATTGGGCTTTTTCAATTGCATATCATGTATGGTTGCTATAATAATGATCTTTTGTCGTTCTTATGCATTCCATTAACAAAGCTTTTAATAAAACCTGCTTTTGCAATATATTTCCAGATTATACGTAAACTATTACTACTTTTTAGCTATTGAAAGTAAACAATGGAAAAGTGAATAACTTAAAATCTTTGTCTTACTTCATCAGAATATCTATGCTGATTTGCTTATTTGGTTTTGCAGTATATGTGAGGCATACTTCAAGAAACTCCCTGCAAGAATAGGGTAAGAGGAATTCAATATTACTTGGTTTACTTATATTTTAATTTGCACAAAAAAATTGGATAGTTGGAAATAGTAAAATACTTGGACACTTGACTCTGTTCATGAAAACATGTTGCATATTGTCAACAATTTTCACAATATGGTATTTCTTGTGATACTCAGCTTTGAATTTATAACTGCCATTGAGTTGTGATCTTGAATTCGGAATTTGGGAGGAGAGAAATGATGTATAGGAGTTTAATTGCGTGCTAAAATTTATTAGAGGAGTTGATAGTGATAGTATTACAAACCATGTATACAGCAAGCTTCAGAAGCCCATTGATGAGCAGACAACTTTAATTTACAGTTCATATATATTTAATTAAATTCATCTGGATTTGATCAAGCTGTGGCCAGTCTCCAAATGGCCATCATGAGCAATGTGGACTTTAAGAAGATTTTTTGGTGTCATAAGTGGAATCAAAATTGAATAAAATAAGTTGCTCACGCATTGTGTAAGTGATTTGAATGGTGGAAAACCCCTAAGTTCTCTTACCTAAGCTTTATTTTTAGTTCACTAGTTTTTGTGTTTATGATTGCTAATTTGAGCGAGAGAGAGTTGTTAGAGGGTGAGAGTGGGGGTCAGTTGCAGTTCAACATTCCCATTTTCGTGTCAATCTCGAGATGAGAGGATCTCCAATCATAAAGGACTTGGACTGGGGTTTCAGAGGGAAGGATTGTGGCCAGTGTTCACAAAATCGAACAGGAATGGTTAACCGGACGTGGGCCCGAAAGCGGTTTAACCGGCCTAAGTAAACCGACCGATTCAACCGTTCTAACCGGGCAAGTCCCAGGCGGTCAAAAAAGTGTTGAAAAAATAAAAAAGATACAAAAAAAAAATATATTGAAATATGAAAAGCATATAAAGAATGATTAAAACAAAACACATTCAAATGAAGTTGAAACTTAATTAAAAAAATGGATTTAACGAATCCATTTTTTAATTAAAGTGAGTATTAATGGCCAAGACAATTTTTAATCTTTACCATAATATAATGAATATTAAAAAATGCATTACAAACCAAATTTCTTATTTTTGAGAATTTATATACATTTTTTTGAATTTTTTTTTAAATACCGGTCAATTACCAAAACCGCCCAAAACCTGAACAGACCAGTTCTGATCTAACCGGGCGGTTAGCGGTTAGATCACCCGATTTTTCCAGCAATGATTGTGGTAAAGAGGGGAAGCTCCAATTAATCTGATTCTTTGTGCTAGTTCACTGATGCGAGACTCTAATGTGTCTTGGGGAGATACCTAATCGAGTCAATTTTTATCTCAGGTGAGTTAACTCGTTAATGTGGAAATGGTATAGTTCAATGGTTGGAGGGAGGATGATCTAGAATCTAAAGGTTTTAAAATTAGCTGGACTAAGACAAAATAGAAACAAGGAATTTGTTTATATCGATGGCCAAGAAGTGTCTGAAAGAGATTATTTTCAATATCTTGGGTTGATAATCCATAAGAATGCAGAGATCGGGGAAGATGTCGTACATAGAATTAGAACTGAGTGGATGAAGTGGAGATGTGCTTCTAATGTGATCATCGTATACCAATGAAATTGAATAGGAAGTTCCATAGGACGGTTGGAAGGCCAACCATGCTTTATTAGACAGAATGCTGGGCATTAAGAAACAACATATTTATAGACTAACTGTAGTTGGGAGAAGATGTTGATCGATGGGTGGCTAGACGAGAAAGGATATGATTTAAAAATTATACATCTGAGGAAACTTGGGGTAGCTACAATAGGCAATAAGATGAGGGAAAGTAGATTTAGGTGTTTTAGGCATGTGCAATGTCGACTGAGAACAATGCCGATTAAGAGGGTTGATTTGGTTCAAGTGGGAAGGCTCTGAAAGGGCAAGGGAGGGCCAAAAAGGACATGGATAGAAGTAGTGAGAAGAGATGAAAACTTATGGTCTGAGTGAGGGTATAGCCCTTGATAGAGCAGAATGTTGGAACATGATGTGTGTAGCTGACCTTAAATAATTGGGAGAAGGATCAGATGATGATAATGTAAGTACATAAACATCGGAATGGCTATTCAAATTCATTTTCTTTTGTTTTTTTTTTATTGTGCCCTATACCTTGTCATGTGGCATTAGTAGCGTGATGGGTGCAAATATAAATTTCCGTCATCGAAAATAGGATCAAAACAATTAAGTCACAAACATTCATTAGGGAGGGGTGAGAGAAAGGGATAGCTGCTGGAGCTTCAACTTGATGTTTTTGAATGGGTGCACTATTATGGTTTGGATCTCGGAGATTGATATTTTATGGCGTTAAGAAGGGAACTAATAAACAAAGCTTCCTCTTGAACTGGCAGGAGTTTTAGGTTTTTGATTTTTTTTTTTTTAATGAATTTTGTTATAAACTTGCCTTCATTATATTGACTCTGATGAGTCATGCGAGTTATCGTGAGACTTGTCCAACTCTTTTTCCCAGTTCCCCGCGTTGGTGCTAGTCTTAAGTCTTACTCTCTTTTTGACACAATTTGACCCTTAATACAATCTAGCTTAGTGTCATTCTAGGTCAACTGTTCTGAGTCAGTGCAACAATTTCTTTCTTTTTCTAGAAAGTACTAAGGAAAATGAACCTTGTTTCAAAAATAATTTGTTATTGTTATATTTGAGGATATTAGTGTCTTTTAATTGTTGTTTAGGACATATGTCCTATTTCATTCTTCACGGGCAATATTGTAATTTGGTACACGTTAATATAAAAAGAGGTACGTGGTCATTCTAACCATCACACTTGTCTCTTTTTCTCTTTTGTCTCTCTCTTCCTCATGCCACTTTCCATCTATCTCTTCACTTTCTTCTTCCTCCTCTTTCCCTTTCTTATTATTCTTGAATAACTTCTTTTCTCTTTTCTCTTCTTTGATTGAATTATCTTAGATTACTTTCAACTTGGTATTAGAGCATCAAAGAAAAGGTTAAAGCATTGAACAAAAGGTGTATGGTGGTATGATTTAAGGCTGATGTCAATTTTATTGTTAGATGACATCATCATGCCCTAAAACCCTAGTTTCCAGCAGTGATTGGGTTGATTAAGTTTAGTTCTTTGGATGATTATTTGATATAGATCATGTGTTTGTTAAAGAACCTAGATCACTGGTGGATTATGTTTTATGTATCTCAGCCAAGAAAACATCGGTAGTGCTGTTTGTAAGGTTCTTTGAATCCAAAGAGGTATGATCGGATCTGAGGATATAACCAGATCTGTAAATCTCTTTTTAGAAGAGATCTGAGATGTTCTTTGAATAAAAAAGGAGGTGTGATCAGATCTGAGGGTGCAATGAGATCTGTAAATCCTGTTTTTGAAGAGATCTGAGGGTGTAACCTGATCTCAGCTGTTGATTAGTTCTCAGGGTGTTATAGATTAACCAAAATTTAAGATGTCTTAGGAGTAATTTGGACTCCAAATTACCAAAGTTGAATTTGATGGCACAAATTATTTAGCGTGGGCCAGGGTTTATTGATTATTTGTTGGTGGAAAGAAAAAATTGGGATATATTGAAGGTCAAGTAGAAAAATCAGATCTCAAGGGTCCCAAAGAGAAAATAGGGAAGCCGACGATATGGGAATTATGAATTGGTTATTGTATTCTATGCAGCCTAATCTGAGTCGAACTTTTATGAACTACAATACCTCTAAGGAAATATTGGTGCAGTGTCTGAGACTTATTATTAAACGAAAAATATTGCAAAGATTTATGAGCTGAGGCAACAAATCAATTGTTTCAAATAGGGGACCTGTCAGTGGGAATTATTATACTCATCTTCATGGTTTTTGGGATGAAATGACTCATTATCAACCCATGTAGATCTCATCTTGTGCAAAGGAACAAAGAGAGATTAAAAAAAAGGAAGATTTTTGATCTTATGAGAGGAGTTAATGGAGAATATGTATCAATTATGCCAAATGTTCTAGGTGGTGAGGCTTCGCCATCACTTGGAGCTGTTTTCTGTCTTCTTTAGTGTGAGGAAACTCGCTGCAAAATAATGGCAGTGTCTATAGGCGAAATAGAAAGATCTGCCCTACTCTCAAGTTCAAGTGGTAATCGAGGTGGAGGCCGTGGTGGTGGACATGATCGTGGAAGCCCCTCATTTGATGAGAAGCCCGAATTAAAGTGCATCCACTGTGGGAAGATTAGACACAAAAGGGATGCATGTTGGGATTTGATTAGACTCCCTAGACGTAATGTTTCTCGAGCAAATTGAACAACAGTTATTGAAAGTGCTACTCCTGTTATGCATGGGTGGCAAAATACTAATGCCTTTGAACCTGAAGAAGAGTTGGTGGCCATTTTTAAAAAAGATCTTCTTGATCTCAAGCAGCAGGCTTCAATTAGGGACCCTCCTTATTTTAAATCCTATGTTGCCCAAATTGGTATATTTGCATTAGCTTATCGGGCCTCCTAAATTCATCTAAAACCCCTTGGACTATTGACTCTGGAGCTACTGAACATATGAATGATATGACTGATCTTTTGTCTTCCTACATTCCTTGTTCTAATCAAGAATCTGTTAAAATAACGGACGGTTTCCTGTTACCCTTATTGTTAACCTATCTTTCTAGTAAATTCTTGTCAGTTAGTAATCCCACAAAAACTTTAAATTGCAGTGTAGCCTTTCTTCCCTCTTATTGTGTCTTGCATGACTTCATGATGGGGAAGACATTTTGGGCGTGGTCATGAGGATGGAGGGTTGTACCTTTTGGAGACTCCAGATCATGCCTTGGCTACAATCATATCTTCCATAGCTAATAAGGTCATCTATCATCTTTTATTGTGGTCTTTATTTCCAAAACTGTTTGAGTCTCTGAGTCGAGTACAATATCAGTGTGATATGAGTAACTCACAAATATCATTGAACAATTCCAATCAACATTAATAGAAAGAGTGATATTCCCTTTTCTCTCACATTCTGATGTGTGGGGTCCTTCTCCAATTGACTATGTGTTTGGTTTGTGCTTCTTTATTACATTTGTGGATGATTGGTCTAGATTAACAACTATTTATTTAATGAAAACAAAGATGAGGTTACTAATCTATTTCAAGTTTATCCCAAAATGGTTAAAACTTAATATGATGCACAAACTAAAGTTTTATGTTCTGACAATGGGCAAACCAACTCAGAGATTATCTTATTGATCAAGGGATTGAGGTCCAAACAAATGGTCTATACACACCTCAACAAAATGGTATGCTGAGAGGAAAAATAGGCACTTGTTGGAAGTCATCCGAGCTCTCTTGCTAGGAATGAAGGTCCCAAAAATTTTCTGATCTGAACTGGTTCCCACTGCTGCCTTTTTGATAAATTGCATACTATCTCTTGTTCCTTAGGGCAAATCTCTTGCTGAAATTATTTTTCGAAACTCTCCCCTGTTTCCTCTACCCCCCAAAGTTTTTGGTTGTATATGTTTTGTCTATATCCTTGGTCCAAAGAGGGACAAGCTTGATGCTAAAGATGTCGATTGTGTTTTCCTTAGAGATCCATCTCATAAAAAATGATTCAGGAGTTATGATCGTATTAACAAAGCTCGACTATGTCTCCATGGATGTTCCTCTCTTTGAATCTGTTCCGTACTTCTTATCTATTGGTCATGAGTGCTTTCTTTAGGGGAGAATAAGATACATTTCAATGTAGAGAGCACTCCCCTTCCTGTTCCCACACCACTTTTATTTTAGGAGAATGGTTTATATGAAAAGAATGGTGTACACCCTAAGAAGGAGATAAAGACATATAACAGAAGGAAGAAGATGGTACAACCCGAAGTTCACTAAGATTATACCCCGCATGCTAACCGAGAATCAGGAACTGTTCCTGACTTTGGTAATTCTTTCACTTCTATGGGAGACCTTACTTGGGCTTACCCATTGCTGTATGCAAGGGTAAGCATTCCTGTACTCAGCATCCTATAGAGAATTTTGTACCATATAATTCTATGTCTTCTTATTGTTGTTCCTTGGTATTATCCATGTCTTTTGTTCGAATATTTGTAGAGGCCCTTTCACCACCTCAATGGAAGGTTGCTGTGGGTTATGAGCACTTGAGCAAAATAATACATGGGAAATCACCAACCTTCCTAAAGGGAAGAAGGTCGTACGATGTCGATGGCTCTACACTATGAAGTACAAGGCTAATGAAACCATTGAAAGATATAAGGCTAGATTGGTTGCAAAGGGCTTCACTCAGACTCTTGGTATAGACTACCAGGACATTTTGCTCTTGGGGCCGAGATGAACATTGTGAGGATCGTTCTTTTTCTAGCTGCTAATAAATCTTGGCCTTTCCATCAGCTAGATGTAAATAATGCTTTCTTGCATGAACACTTCCAAGAAGAAATCTATATGGCCATGCCTCAAAGTTTTCAGATTAAAGGGGAGATATGAAAGTTGTGCAAGTTAAAATAGGCAATTTATAAAAAAGGCACTGCTGAAATTTTGATTTATAAGAAGTCAGGCTGATCATATGCTCTTTGAAAAGAAGAATAGTGCTCGGATTACAACCCTTATAGTGTTTGTTGTTGATATTTTGTGATAGGGGACAATGTGAAGGATATTGAGGATCTTAAATCATATCTGAGCGAGGTGTTTGATGTCAAATATTTAGGCCCTCTTAAGCATTTTTTGGGCATTGAAGTGGCAAGATCAAATAAAGGGATAGCCACCTCCTAGAGAAAATGTCCTAGACCTATTACAAGAAACTGGTATGTTAGGAGCTAGACCAGTTGATATTCTTATAGAAGTCAATCATAAACTTCATGGAGAAAGGGGATGGTTTCTTGGAAATCCCAACCAGTATCAACAAAAAGTGGGCAAGCTCAAATGCCTCATGATGACATGACCAGACATCTCTTATGTGGTTAGTGTGGCAAGCCAATTTATGCATGCCCCATGAAACCACATTTTGATGCAGTGTATCATATACTGGATATCTAAAGTTTGCTTCAGGGAGAGGGATATTTTTCTAATCCAGGGCATTGTGATGTTTCTATTTACACTGATGCTAATTGGGCTGGATGCCAAACTAATAGGAGATCCACAACTGGCTATTGCATGTTTTTAGTAGGAAAACTGCTCTCTTGGAAAGCAAGAAACAAAATGTGGTGGCAAGATCAAGTGCTGAAGCTGAATACAGGGCTATGGCTCATCATACATGTGATTTAATGTGGGTAAAAAATGTGCTGTCTGATTTGGGGGTTGGGGTTAAGGTTAAGCTTCCCATGACTTTGTATTGTGACAATGAAGTTGCCATTCATATCTATGAGAATCCTGTATTTCATGAGAGGATTAAACACATTGAAGTAGATTGTCACTTCCTTCGAGAGAAAGTTACTACCATGATCATTAATAAGTCTAAACGTCAACTTAAAAATATCTTCACTAAAGCTGTTGGATGGAATAAACTACGAGATATTACAAACATGCTGGGGATGATTGATATCTATGCACCAGCTTGAGGCAGAGTGTTGGAAATAATTAATTATTGTTATATTTGAGGGGTGTAAATGTCTTTTAATTGTTGTTTACGATTTGTATGTCCTTTTTCATTCTTCATGGGCAATATTCTTGGTAGGCATTATTAATGTAAAAGGAGGTGTGTGATGGTCACTCTCTCTCTCTCTCCTCTTCTCTTTCTTGTTCCTCCCCTTCTCCTCTCTTATTACTTCTTAATGACTTCTTTTCACTTTTCTCCTTTTCTCTTCTTCGATTGTTTTGCCTAGATTACTTTCAAAGGGTCATAGAGTACTGAGCAAGTGACAAGTGAAGTTCTTAGTTGCAGGGAGTATGAGAGGGGGAGTGGAAGCAATGCTACACTATGATTTTGGGAGTTAATATCTTTTGAACTGTGTAATCTAATGAATGCCATGATTTGAAAGTCTCTGTGATTAGCTATCTATAGCCGTTATTATCTCTCAATGTAAGTATTTGAAACATTTTGTCAAGTTCCAATGATGCCTAAGCACATGGATGTGGTTAGAGAGGGTGACTTTCTTTCCTTGCATTTCATTCTAATTATGCATGTTAAACAATTACTGAATACATGTTGTTTGCAAGAATTGCTTAGGTTCTTGCGGATGGATACTATATCTCTTCTACTTTCAATGGCAAATGTTAGCATCTCTTTGGATGTACTTGTGGTGGATATGGTTGGAGGAATTCTTACTGGTGCTGCGGCAGAACGCTTGGGAGGTACTGTTTCATTTTGGGTTTGTGCTTGTTGAAAGTAATTTCTTTATTCCAAATACGGTGTGAACCGATTCCACTTACTCTCCTTTTGAGGTTTGGGGGCTCTTGGATTTTGGAATTGTCAAAGTCGTGCTTCCCATAATTTGAAAAGCTTAGACATCTAACCCATGAATTAAGTATATAAATTCACAAAATACAGAATTAATTTAATGAGACAATATCTTCCACTTGATTTTGTCATTTCTCCATCAGCTGATTTGGTGTTGCTGGTTATTACTATCTTGGCATGTAAGTGATGAGTAAAATCCTTTCCAGGTCTTGTCTTATTGTACATAACATATTCTTCATTTTTATAATTATACTGATCTCTAGCTGAGTTTTTTCCTTAAATATTTTCTATATCTTTTCTAGAATAAAAGAAGGATTGTCATCTATTTGCTGCCTTTTAAACAAATTCTTAATCCCCGAAATAGCCAAGTACCTTAATCCATTGCTTTGGATAAGTGTTGAAGCAATAAATTAAATGATTTATTGGTGAATAGTTTAGCCTTAGTTATCCATGATTGTATAATTTTAAAATCCATGGTTAGGCATTATGCAGCCCCCAACCATAATGTGACAGATAGTCTTTGTATGCTGAGTATAAATGAATATTGAACCTCGTTGGTTTCCTTTTACAGGTACAGGATATGTGTGCAACACCCACTTAGGGACTAAGCAATATCCTATGGATATAGTGGGGATATTTAATTTTGACAAAGCAATTTCAAGCAGGTTTAATTTTTCCTTTTTACCATTATGATTGATCTTACTTAGAAAAACATGAATACTTATGTTCTTAGAGCCAGTTTATTTGTACTGCTAGTCCGAGGCAGCAAGTTGCATGTTTTTCTTTTTCGGTACTTTATCATTGTGATGGGCTAAATATAGTGGTAACACTGTACAATTTAGATTTTCTGATGTGTTCGTTGAGACCAACATCTTTAATCCAATGTTTCCTACCCCTTTCTGATCATATTATGCATTTTCACTCAGAATTTGTTTATTAATGATCTAATTCATGGAGCTATGTGCATGAGGTAGTTCTAAATGATTTTTAGCTATGTATTTGCTCACTATTTTGATTCTAGACCTTGTTGTTGAGTGTTAAAGCAATGTAGAGGCATGGATTTGATTTGAGACAAATACCTGAAGGAAATCACTACTAAGTGAATGCTACATGGTTCTATCAGCTTGATTAGGAAGTAGAATTATCACTTAAGGTTATCTTTCGGATTTTCCCCAACTCCCAACTTCTTACTTTGTAATTGACAAAGTTATAAACATTGACGAAATGAATTATACAAATATGAGTCCCTTGTACGTGGTATGTGCAATATGACATGGCTAGCAAGTTCTTGATAAAGTGGGAAATGGGATCTAAAATGGTGCAGTACAGAGTTTTGATGGACAAGATAAAACAGAAATTAGGGCTGAAAATTCAATTGATTCAGTAAAATTGAAGCACAAGATGCTGCAATGGAGAAAAGTTTATCTACAATGATAAAATCAGCAAAATTACTCTCTGAACTCTCTATAGAAGTTTAATGCCCACTCTTCTAAACCCTAAGTTATAATAAAACAGCAAACTATCCCTACTATTAATAAATTCCAAACAATTATCAAAAACTGCACACCACCCCTAAACAATATTAAAAATCCCAGAAATTTCGCTCTGAACAGTAACCCATAAGCAATAACCTGTGAATAGTTAAAAAAATAAATAAAATAGAATTTAGGTATTGGATATGACAATACTGTGACATCAGCAGGACTGCATCAATCCCCCTTGATTAGAAGAACTCACCACGTGTTCTGGTTAGTATATTACTTCCGCATGTCAGGATACTCTTTGGAACTAAAATCCACGATTCTTCTACTTCATATTTATCTTTTCAGTGCACAAGATATTTTGTATATGATCTACACCTCATAGGTAATTATCATGACTGAATCAATCACCTTGACCTCGAATTCTGGCAACTGATATTTCCAATCAATCTCTATTTCGTCGTTTTTCTCACCATGATAATCATGTAGATTAACAATGTTAAATATTGGCGAAATATCATAACCTGCTGGAAGTTCCACTTTATATGCACTCTCTCCCAATCTCTTCAGAACACGACAATGCGCAAAGCTCCTAAACTTCAACTTATGATACTGCCCTGGAGAAAATCTCTCTTCCATAGGTGGACTATAACTAAATCACCCTCATTAAACTCTTTTTGGCATCTGTTTTGATCAACACTCTCTTTGTAACACCCCATGTTTGTCTTAAGCTTTTGTATCTGTCTTGAATGTGTTCCACTCAAGCCTCTGCATCATTGCTAACTCGCTCCATATCAAGCAAATTCTCCATATCTAATACCTGCTTTGGGTTCCTGCCATAAACTGCTTCAAAAGGTGATCTCCCTGTGGTTCTAGTTTTGGTACTATCATACGTGAATTCAGCTTGAGACGAGAACAAATCCTATTGCTGCGATAGTCCTCCTGTTAAATAGCACAAGGATTGCCCAAACTCCTGTTATCTACCTCTGTCTGACCATCAGTTCAAGGATGGTATCTGCTGCTGAATTACAATTTACTCCATCTTGCATCACAAGGTCCTCCAAAAGTGGCTCATAAAGCATGTCTCTTGATCTGAAGTGATAATTTTGGGAACTCCGTGGTGCCGAACAACATCCCTGAAATACAGAATGGCTGTCTATGTAAGCATCTTTCAGCATGCGATAAATGCATCATCTTCGAGTAGTGGTCAACCACTAGGAACATAGAGTCCATTCTGCAGGCTGTTTGTGGCAATCCCACCAAAAAATCCATACATCTTCCCTTGGCTATCTTGGTACCAATAATAGAGTGCACTGTCTGGTGTTCTAAGTCCTTCCTTTTGCTAGCTGGCATGTATGCTTCCGTCCATGTACCTCACAACATCTCTCCTCTGTCGCGGCAAAAACTACCTGTCCTCCACCAATGCTAATGTATGGTCTTGGCCAAAGTGACCTCCAAGCCCTCCACAATGCAAGTCGAAGAGTATCTTCAACCTCCGGAGCTATCTGATATGTAGAGGCGATTTCCCCTAGACAGAAAGCCATCCTGTAAAACAAATGTTAGTAGCTTCTGGATCTCCCTTCCGTACTTGTTCAACAATTTCAGAAAATATGAGTGAGTAGCATATTGTCAAGGGACTGCTTCAAAGCCTCCAATTGATGTCGATAGAACACACACCATGGATCTTCTGTTCAACGCCATGGATCTCCTGCTCAATGCATCTGCAACTCGGTTTCGACTTCTAGCCTTGTGTTTGATTAAAAAAAGTGAACTACTGTAAGTATGAAACCCATTTGGCATGTCTTCTATTCAAAGTTTTCTGAGTACTCAGGAACCTTAAGGCCACGTGATTGGAATACAAAACAAACTCCTGCTCAATCAAATAGTGCCTCCATTGGCTAAGGGGCATGCACTCGCATAGATATCCGAATCATATGCCAAATAGCGTGACTTAGAATCACTTAACTCCTCACTGAAGAAAGCAACAGGCTTACTCTCCTGGCTCAAAACGGCCCCAATTCCAACATAGGATGCATCACAATCCACCTGAAAAACTTTATCAAAACTCGGTAAAGCCAAGACCTATGGTTGTGTAATCTTTTCTTTAATCAATATCTGAAGCAATCATTGGTTGCATCTATCCAAACAAAGTTGCCTTTTCACATACAATCTCTAATGGGAGCTATCAAGCTGCTGAAGTTCTTAATAAATTGCCAATAAAATGTAGCTAGTTTGTGAAAACTATGCACATCCCAATACAAGTCAATGTTGCCAGTCAATGATTGCTGGACCTTAATCGAATACACTTTAATCCCCTCAGCAGATACTGCATATCCCAAGAAAACAAGATTGTCTTTCAAGAAAGAAAACTTCTTAAGATTTATAAATAATGTTTCAGCCCATAATGTTTCCAAAATCCATCTCTAATGAATCAAATGTTCCTCAATTGTACTGCTGCAACTCAAAATATCATCAAAACATAACACCACAACAAATTCCCTATGAATGGTTTGAGCACTAGATTCGTAGCTTGCATAAAAGTACCAGACGCAAAAGGCATCACTAAGCATTCACATAACTCCTCCCAAGTCTTGGATGTTGTTTTCTATTCATCTTCTGATCTAATTCTGATCTGATGATACCCACTTTGTAAGTCAATCTTGAAAAATATCCTTAGATCCCGATAACATGTCCAACATATCATTTAAGCAGGGTATGGTGAATCTATATTGGATTGTGGTATTGTTTATGGCCCTACTGGCCGCACACATTCGCAGTGCCATCTTTTTTGGGAGTTAACATTGCAGGGACAACACTGGACTTAGGCTCTCACGAATCGACCCCTTATCCCATAGGTCTGAAACGTGCCTATGTAGCTCATCATGCTCATGCAGACTCATGCGGTAGTGTGGTATATTTGGTAAACTAACTTGCAGAACCAAGTCTATGCAGTGTTGGATATCTCTTACGGGAGGTAACCCACTGGGTAATTTTTCAGGCATCAAATATTGGAATTCATCCAAAGGCTGCTTAGCTACCTCATTCCCCACCGCAATGTGACCATTGTCCTTTATTATTAAGGCATACATAACCCCTTTTTCACTACTTTAAGCCAAAAAATGTTGCGTGGACAGAACTACTACTTTCTTTTTCACTTTAACCCTCTCTTTATCTTCAACTCTTAAAGGGTGTGGTTTGACATTCACACCATCCTTGATAATCGAATACCTATTGTTCCATCCATTATGAATCATGGAATGCTCGTACTACCAACGACGTCCCAAGAGCAAGTGCCAGGTGACCATTGGTAATATGCTGCACTATATGGAGCCATTATACTGTTTACCAATAGAAAATGAAACTAATCAATGAGAATCAGCAAGAGCCTTACATTACCTTGTTTGAATTACTGTATCTTGTAGGGATGGTATGCTTCTCTTCTTGAACTTTGATTGTTCACCATCTCTTGGGAGACCAAGTTCTTGCATCTCCCACTATCAACAATGACTGTGCATACGTTGCCTTGTACAATACATCTTGTGCAAAAGATGTTAGTGCGCTACCATTGACTCATCAACAACCTTGGTTGCAGCTAGCATAGGTTGAATCACTAGGAGGTTTCCGTCATTGACGTATGTGTCCTCTTGGCCTCTATCGATATCAGCCTCACTCCCTTCATTGGTGTGCACATCTTCCTCCTCATTACCCTCCACGGATTCCCCTCGTAAGTGTAGACCATCTTGGCGCTTTGTACAATCATAAGACCTATATCCCTACTCCCCACACTTGAAGCATGTTTCTAATTTACGGCTCTTTTGGGGCTGTAGTGTGTGCTAGGCTTGTGTTTGGAGGTTTGGCCCTTAAATCTACGTTCTTCCTCACCACGGGACTGGTTAGGGGTTTGCCCCCTACCTCTTTGGACTTTATAGTGGCTGGTCGCTTATCTACAAAGTGATTGAGCCCAGATTTGCGCAATTTGGTCTTTGCTACGGTTGGCAACGGGCTGGGTGCCAGCCTTGGCCTGGCCTCAGTCCCTATAGGGCCAGTCCGAGCCTAGCCCGGCACGGACCGGGCTGAAGAGGCCCTGGTAAAGGCTGGGCCAGGCCAAATACAATCCACGAAAATAAAAGAAAAAAGTAAACTAAGGGCCTGGCCGGGCTGAGCGGCAACTGTTTAACCCTGGC